TGATAAATCAGTTGAAATCCAAATTTGTTTACCTCTAAATGTGACCTGCTATTTTTCTCTTGCAGTTTTTAAAATTCTACCATTATTCTGTATATTAGGCATTTTCTTTATATGTGTCATAGAGAGGATCTTTTTTGATCTTGTCTATTTGAGGTTTTGCTGGCATCTTATAATTAGATTTCCAACTTATTCCTAATATTTGGAAATTTTTGTTATTATTTCATTGAAAAGATTGTGCATTCCTTTAGTCTGTATTTTGGAGCTTTCTTCCACCCCAATGATCCTTTTTTTTTTAAGCTGTCAATGGACCTTTATTTATTTATATGCAATGCTGAGAATTGAACACAGTGCCCTCACATTAGGCAAATGCTCTAGCACTGAATTATAACCCCTGCTCCACCCCAGTGATTCTTAAATTTGGCCTCTTAATATTATCCCAGATATCTTGAATATTCTGGTCATGGTCTCTTAACAACTTATATATTATCAACTTTATTTCCAAGATCATATACTTTTATCTTCAAGGTCTATGAAAATATCTTCTAAGGGGTCTAATATATTGGTGATACTTTCCACTGAATTTTTAATTTGATTTCCTAAGTCACTTCCACAATATCCATTTGGTTCTTTTTCAGAATCCCTTTTATGAAATGATCTTTTACTTTCTGTATTTTCCAAGTTCATTACTTATATCTTCTTTTAGTTCACTGAACATCTTAATTTTCTAAATTATTTCTCCATCATTTTCTCTAATGTGGTGTCAATGGGATCAGTTGTTGAAGTGTTGTTGGCTATTCTGGGTGACTTGTCTCTTTGCTTTTTCATACTGCTTATATGTTTACCCATCCGTTGGGATGATTATTGTTTTTCTCTTTTATACAAGGGACTATTTAGTGAGCTTCCATCTCTTAAGGGCCCCAGGCTGGGTGAATATCCAGGAACTGATAGTTTCACTCACTGTGTGTCCTCTGCTATTCCCACTACAAGGACTACTTTGAGAGAAGACATTAAACCCTATTTACTACAGACACTTCAGAGCAAAGCTAAATACTAACCAACTTTAGAAAAAAACAAAATTGTTGACAATATTCTCCACAGTTTCTTTGACCCAGGTATAAACTTGTAGTACTGTTCTGGAATAGGTTGGAAAATTAGTTACTAATAGGAGTAAAATGGCTATTATATACAGGAGCTAAAAAAGGAAGGAAAAAAAATTGGGCTAAACAAGAGAAAAGTGAAAAAGTAATGAAAAGATAGAAAAGAACCATACAAAAACTAAGGTAAAAAGAATAAGATGGGGCAGGGGGATTTAAGATAGTAGCAAGTAATGGAAGAGAAAAGAGGAGCTTAGAGGAACAAATGTAAACCTGAGCTAAAAAAAACAAAAAGGATGATTCCACTAAATGCTTTAAAATACTAGAAGAAATACAATCAAATGGATTGAGGGCACAATATCAAATTTTAGGGTAACAACTCTCAAATCAAAATGAATAATATATGTATGATCAAAGTTGACATTAGAACTGTTTACAATAAAACATGCCAAGGTGGAGAAAATTCTTATTGAGTCATCCTGGTTTGGACTTCATCAGTTTAGAAAATGCCCAACACTCTTCAGCTTTTGATTTCCCCCTAGAGGTTCTGGGGGCACAGGAGTAATATCCCTGGTTGCTGTGTACTTCCACCACCCAGCTCTCCATTCTTTTTTGAAATATTTATTTTTTAGTTGTAGGTAGACATACAATATCTTTTTATTTTTTATTTTTTTAATGTGGTGCTGAGGATCAAACCCAGTGCCCCAAACATGCTAGGCAAGCACTCTACCATTGAGCCACTAACTCCAGCCCCCAGTTCTCCTTTTATGAGCCCAGGGGCCTAAGGCTAGATGCTCAGAGGGTTGCTTTGCTGCATCTGCTGGGTGTTTTTGTTGTATGCAACAGCACCCCGTACTTGGCTCAGGGCTGTCGCGCACCCGCTCACCTCCACATGCTCTCTTCAAAGTAGCATAGGTCCTGGTGTCTGTCTGCAAGCACTGGACCAGTAGTTCTAGGGTCATTGTGGCTGGTCTGCAGTGCAGAAGTGTTTCCCCTAAACCAGAAGATTGTGGACCAGTGTCCCTGCTCACCAATAATAGGCTCAGCCAGTCGCAAGCTCCCCAGCTGATTAAAAATCACAGATGCCAACCCCCTCCACTGTCCAGAACAAAAACAACCTTTCCACCTGTGCATGAGCTCTCACTGCCCACAGCTGTGAAACATGGGCATACATTCTGGTTTCTGAATTCCTGTGGAAGATGTATGGAGCGCTGGGTCAGGTAAGCACTTCCTGGGAATGACCAGCTCTGGGGGCTGCTCCACCCCACTTCCCTTGTCCTCAGTGAGGAGGAAGGTGTTTAGGCAACTTTGGGCAAGTAGGGATCCTTCAAGTTTCTTACAGACAAATAACTGAGACATGCTTATGCAGAGGTACTCCCTCTAGTTTTATCTGTTGCTATCTGAAGGTAGGGAGAAGCTCTTTTGATTTATTTTAGAGAGGTTGACCACCTGTGGACTCCACAAAATGGCTGCCATAGCAAGAATGGCTTTCAGTCCACAATTTAGATTAAACTGCCTGATCTCCTCACTGATTCCGCCTGTTTCTATCACATATCAATTTTGTCTGTTTTTCATTCCAACTGTTAAGAAAGTGATCCTGTGTGCTTTTCCTCTCCTTTTTTCTCCATTTCCTTCCCCTATCACACCACCCTAGTTCAGGTTCAAGATTAAGGAACTCTGTCCTTATTTTCCATTCTGATAACCTCTGTAACTCTTCAAGTTTCATACTGTCCAACATTGGGTCTTAGAGCATTTACTCTCTCACCCAGCTCTGTAGTCAACTGTTCCTTCACCATCTCCTTTCTAAGCTATTTAGGAATCCAGAATCACTGCCTAGTTATACTCCACCATCTTTCTCTCTCTCCCTACTTGACATTTTCAAAGGTACCCATGAGGTTGAGGTAGGAGGATCAAGTTCAAAGCCAGTCTCAGCAAAAGCAAGGTGCTAAGCAACTCAGTGAGGCCCTGTCTCTAAATAAAATACAAAAAGGGCTGGGGATGTGGCTCAATGGTCAAGTGCCCCTGAATTCAATTCCCAGGAAGATCCAATAAAAAAAGAATTTATCATATTGTACACCTTAAGTATGTACAGTTTATTGTAGTTCAATTAGACCTCATGAAATCTCTTAAAAACACAACAAAGTCAAGCATGGTAGCACATGTCTATAATCCCAGCCACTAAGCAGGTAAAGTAGGAGGTGCTATTAATTAGAATATTAGATGTTCTCCAAAAGCTCATGTGAAAATCAATGCAAGAAAGCTTAGAGGTAAAATATTTGAGTTATGAGAGCCTTAACCTGGTCATTGTATTAATCCACTTGAATGGATTAACTGGGTGATAAATGTAGGCAGATAAGGTGTGGCTGGTGGAGGTGGGTCATTAGGGACATGCCTTTAGGGATATATATTTTGTCCCAGATCTACAGTGTGCCCCTCCCCCCCTTGTTTCCTGGTGCCACATCCTAAGCAGCTTTTCTCCACCACACACTCCAACCATGATGTTCTGCCTCACCTCCAGACCCAAAGAGTGGAGTTGGTCATCTATGGACTGAGACCTCTGAAACATTAGTACCAAATAAACTTTTCATACTTTGAAATTATTCTTTCCCAGTCTTTTCGTCACGGTGACAAAAAAGCTAACAGGAGGATTTCAAGTTTAAGGCCAGCTTGGACAACTTAGCAAAACCCTGTCTCAATTAAAATTAAAAACAGCTGGGGATGTAGCTCAGTGGGGTAAAGCAGTGCCTAGCATGTTAGCATGTGTGAGGCACTAGGTTCAATCCTCAGTTCCATAAAACACATACACATATACACACATACATACACACACACACACACACACACACACAGAGTAATATTACCTCTTCCTTTCAGGTTTAAAAGAAAATTTGTATTCTCTTTTTCTTTTTTAATTGATAAGTAAAAGTTATATATTGATGGTATACAACATGATGTTTTCATTTATTTACATATCGTGGAATAGGCAAACTAAGCAATTTACATATTTATTAACTCATATTTATTATAAGAACCTGTAAATTATTGTCTAAGAAATTTTCAAGTACACATTAATATTAATTGGAATCACAATGATGTAAAATATATCTCTTAAACTTTTTTTTTTCAGTTTTCGGTGCATACATCTTTGTTTTATTTTATGTGGTGCTGAGTCTAGAACCCAGTGCTGCGCGCATGCCAGGCAAGCGCGCTACCGCTTGAGCCACATCTCCAGCCCAATCTCTTGAACTTTTTCATCTTGTGTAACTGAGGTTTCATGCTCTTTGATCAGTATCTCTTCAATCCCTAGTTGTTGTTTTTTGTTTGTTTGTTTTTAGTTGTAGAACACAATACCTTTATTCCATTCATTTATTTTTATGTGGTACTGAGGATTGAACTCGGGGCCCTGCGCATGCTAGGCGAGCGCTCTACTGTTGAGCCACAATCCCAGCCCCTCAACCCCTAGTTCTTAATAACCATTATTTTACTGTTTTTATGCATTTGACTTTTTTGGATTATATATATAAGTGAGATCAATGCATTGTCTTTCTGTTATTCTCTTTCAACATGATAGTAATACTTCTACGGCATCCCACACATCAATAATCTCTACATTGCGGGGAGAGGGTTACCAAGAACTGAACTTAGGGGTACTTTACCACTGAGCTACATCTTCAGCCCTTTCTTTTTTTTTTTTTTTTTTTAAGAGAGAGTGAGAGAGAGAAGGAGAGAGAGAGAGAGAATTTTTTTTTTAATATTTATTTATTTTTTTTTTAGTATTTGGCGGACACAACATCTTTGTTTGTATGTGGTGCTGAGGATCAAACCCAGGCCGCACGCATGGCAGGCGAGCGCGCTACCGCTTGAGCCACATCCCCAGCCCATCTTCAGGCCTTTCTATATTTTTATTTTGAGATAGGGTCTCACTCAATTCCTTACAGCTTCACTGAGTTACTGAGACTGGCCTCAAACTTGCAATTGAGTTAAGTTGCTGGGATCAGAGGTATGTGCCATTAACCCTGGCTAGTCTCTATATTCTTAAATCGTTAAGAATTTCAATGCCAGGCACTCATTAAGGTTACAGAGACACAAATACATTGGCAAGAATATATTCTCCAACAACCCACTTCCATACCAAATTACAGGAGTCCTGCTCTGCTTTCTACCTATCTAAGGTAAAGGATATCATTCCAGTCATCTCTATCTTTGCATCACTAATGACTTACCAAAGGATACTCTTCAAAAAAAAAATTTTTTTTATTGCTCTCACACCCTTCAATCTTCCACATTACCTTTCTGCTTTGCCATCTTCCTGTTTCCCTTGATAACAGTGATGTTTGTGATTCTATATTTCATCTTATTTCATTTTCTCACATCTACCAGGTATTTTCTAAAGATATATTTGAGGATAAGAAAACTATTTCTATACACTTACCTCAAGTACTGGTCCAGCTCCAAGAATAATCTGTTCTACTCCACTGGCAAATCCTTTCTGACTGAGTGCAGTAAGGTGGTGAATAAGAAAGTTTGTGCTTTGAGTCTTCCCAGAACCACTCTCTCCTGAAATCACAATGCACTGATTCTTTTTACGCTGAAGCATAGCATGATAAGCTACATCAGCCACTGCATATATGTGGGGCTCAAGTTTTCCCAATTGGTGGTTATCATACATTTTGACGTATTTGGGGTTATAAATAGGAAGAAATTTGAATGGGTTAATAACTATTAGAATACTGCCAACGTAGGTATAAATTTTTTCATGCTTAAAGCGATTTCGTAGGTTTTCTAAGAGAGTTTTCTCATTCAAGTCAGGTAAGCTACATAAATCATCAAAGTCTTTCTGTTGAGGCTGTGGAAGAAAACCTCGTTCCACCATCCTGCGTCGTTCTTCAGTTACCCGTAGCCATGACTGAAGGCTACCATAATGGATTGATCCATCAAGGTTTTTTTCCCGCAGAAGAAAGCGGTAGTCCTCTCCACTTAAGCGATTTTCCAGAGCCATTCGTGGCCACAACATCATTCGCTGAACTGGACAGTCTGTTGGATTGAGTATCCATTCTTCTCCACCAAATTCCTTTACCTCTGCTAAAACATAACATTTTGTTTTGTCTAGATGAAGTTTGTTTATAAGAGTGTCAATCACCTCAGCAGCTGTGGTGTTTTTCCTGGCAGGAACTGGACAGTAGATTGTCCCTTCTGAAATTGTCCCAGGATATATACGTAATGTATGTTCATTATCCTCAAAGCGTCGTCTTCCTCCATCACTTATATTCATATTGGATCCTGTCCCATCAGCATAAATAGTATGTGTTGTTCAAGATCATGCAAATCATTTTCTTGGCAAAAAAACTGTAATATAAAAGACGTGAAACATTTACAAGTCATATTAAACATTGCTGACGCTCAAAAAAGAAAGACTTAACAAACACATTCATTACATACATCTTTTAGAACACAAAATTCTAACTCTCAGTACAGGAACAAGTACTGCAAATAGTCTCATTGAGACTACATCCTACTGTTCAAATAAAGAGTATTTTCTAAAACAGTAACTGGCAAAAAATATATATATACATTTCAATGTTTTGTTTTATCAACAATTCAGAATTTAAAAAGTACAATATCCCCTGATATTTCAAATGATTCTAAGTTACTTGCAATTAAAACGAAGTTTATTCTTTATTCACTAAGGACTGGACTAAAGGACAGAATAATTACACAAAGCTAGTCACCTTGCACCCAAATTTCTTAAAAGATGATGCAAAAACAAGAAAGAATGCTTTCAGTGGTGCAAAAACTTTGTGAAATACATTAATTACAGAAAGATCAGAAAATAACATTATAATCAAGAAAGCAATGAGAGAAACCTGTTATGTAAATAGACATAGTTTCAAAGAACTCTGGGTTTTGACTCTCCTCTTTGCCCGTCCGGACAGACAAGTTTGACCAGAGTAAGAAAAAGATTCTGCTGGACTTACTGAGACAAATTGAAAATATTATACAAGTAGGCACCATTATAAATTTATTCAACCTCCTTTTGTCTTTTTATGTTAATATTCTACCTTTCCACCTAACCTCATTCCATTCCACATACCCTATCAATCTTCTCATATTCCCCAAACACTACTCTTTTACACCTCACTCAGAAAATAATTACCTACAAATGGTTTCTCAACCTCAATCTATTCTTATTTTCATTTCATCTCTATTCTTCAGTTCCTGTATAGAGAAAAATTGTTCCACATCCTTTCCAGAACAAAACTTATTTCTTATTATCTCCATTAGTACTATGTCCTACCAAAAAAAATTCTCATTTGTCATCAACCTTCTTCTTTTTAGTTATTTCATCCTTTAACATATAATGTGCTATTTTTAAAAACAATAAAAATATTCAGTTATTTCAATATCATACTACCAAATATTTGTCAAAATCCTCTAATCAAGAAACTTTGTTATCTTTTTCCTAGATGATATTTCAAATATACAGATTATGGAACATATAAAAAGCAACCATATATCTACTGCTCAAATTCAACAAGTTTGAAAACTGCTATGCTCACTCATTTTTATAAACACATGTATTAAAAACAGTTAAAGTTCCCTCATTTGCTTTATGATATGACCACTACCCAGAAGTTGTTATTATTCTATGTTTTTGTATTTGTATTACCTGTGAGTCTCCATAATTTATATATAATACTGTTTTGTTTTTAATCTCTAAGAAATATTATCACAGTATAGTCTACTTTTCACTTTAGTTTAATATCATTTTGCCTATTAACAGATGTAAACTTCAATAATGGCTAAATAACATCCCATTTCATGATTCTACCACAGTTAATCAATTCACTCACTGCCCTCCTAGTGAATATTATGATGGTTCCAACATTACACTATGAAAACAATGCTGCAATTCTCACACATGTCTCCTCATGTTTATTTGCTAGATTTTTCTCTTTATAATTAAGAGTAAAATTACTGCATTTGGAGTTTCTTAACTTTGCCAGATATTAACAAAATGCTTTCCAAATGGTTACTCAAATGTCCATTTCAAACAAATGTAGCAGAGTTCAGACTTTTCCGTTTCCTTACTAAAAGTCAGTATTGTCAGAATATTGAGTTTCTGCCAATCTAAAGTACAAAAAGATTATTCTTTAATTTGCATCTCCTTGATTATTAGTGAGGATTGGCAACTCTAATCATCTCATTTGCCATTTGGGCTAAGTTGCTCATTCATTTTGATCTCCTTTTTTAATAAGTTGTCGTCTCCTTATCAGTTTAAATGAGTTTTTCATATATTATTTTTTTAGTATTTTAATCAGCTTTCAGTTGATTGTGTGGCAAAATCTCCTATCAACCAGGGACTTACCTCTTTTATTTACAACACATTTTGTTATAGAGAAGTTTTTACTTTTTTAATATTTTTTATTTTATTTATTTTTCAGTTGTTATGTATTTTTATGTGGTGCTGAGGATCAAACCCAGGGCCTCACACATGTGAGGTGAGCGCTCTACCACTGAGCCACAATCCCAGCCCCTAGAAGTTTTTACTTTTAAAGAGAAAATTTATTGATCCCTTATAGCTTGTCCTTTTTATATCTTTTCTCTCTCCACCCATCCGCCCCAGCCTTGTGGTGCTGGAAATTGAACCTAAGGCCTTGCTCAGGGTAGGCAAACAGAATATCATTTAGTTACACCCACAATTTTTTTTTTTTTACAAAAGTTTATTCTTAAATTTACAACAGACTCCACACAACACTTCATTGTAGCTATAGGTGGCAAAAGATATTACAGTGGGGGTACTGGTGTTTCATAGGAATGGAATTAATGGTCACCATCATTTCAGGCACAAGAAACGAGTTACTTTTTGCCAGATTTCTTAATTCCACCTGTGGCCAAGGGGCCCTTCCCAGCGGCCTTCACTTTTAGCTCCTCAAGTTTCTTCTGCTCCTGTTTTTGTTTCTGTTTAAAAGCCTTTTCTTCCTCATCCATCTCCTTGGACTGCTTCTTAGGCTGTTTCAGGGGCTTCTTCTTGCTACATTCACGGCTGGACATGGTGCCTGTCACCCCCACCCCAGACCTTGATCCCAAACTGGAAACACCCACAATTTTTTGAGACAGGAGTCTAAAAGGCCTAAGGTGGCCTCAACCTCAAAGTTGTTTCATCAACCTCCCAAATAGATGAGATTACAAATGCAACTCTGCATCCAGGTTGTTTTTTAGTAAACAATGGGGAAAAAACGGTTGTATTTCATTCTTAATGCATGCTTGTTTTCACTAGTCATTTAACTTCACATAAATCTTTACAATTCTTCCTTTACTGTTTTTATTACTGTCATCCTCACTTTACAAATGATAGAACAAATGCAGAAAGATTATAGAACTTACCCAAAATCATAACTAGAATATGATAAAGACTTAAAAGCAGGCAGTCTGGCTCTAAAGTTTATCATCTCCTGGTAGTTTTTCTTTAAATACTTCTTTATGCTGAGGACATAAAGTTATCTTATATTTTCTTACAAAAGGCCTAGGTTTTCTGTTTTTTTGGGTTTTTTTTCTTAGGTCTTTAATTCACATAATCTATTTTCAAGCTATTGTAAGACAGGGCTCTTAATTATTTCACTCCAACTCAAATTAACAATTAACCAGCACCTAATACTCAGCTCTCTGTGCACTGATATATAATGCCACCTTTGCCAGGTAGCAAATTCCATATACCTAACAATGTGTTCTGGGTTTTATATTCTGTTCCACAGCTGTATTTGTCTATCCCTGAGCCCATCTTAATTATCACAATTCTATAATAAATTCTCATATATGAAGAACATATCTCCAAAATTTGGTGTTTTTCACTTTGGCTATTTACCATAATAATTTCAACATAAGTACGTTTACTCCCATGAAAAATATATTTTGACATTTTGAAATTGCATTTTTATAGATTAATATTGGAAAGAACATTATTGACTTTTCCCACTCATGAACACTATGTTGTTGGTGTTCTCCAGCTGCTTTAACTGCAGATTTCTTTCGCTTCTAAAATTTGTCATTTTCATATCCACCTGATCTTTTCTCTACCTACTTAAATTTCACAACTGTTTTAATATAAGGGCTATTACTCTCACTCATTTTTTAAAATTCTAAATATAAAACTTAATATTTTTAGGACTAACATTTTAATATCATCCAGACTGAATTGCTCTTCTGATTGCTGATTTTTGTATCTTTGTTAGCACTAGAGATGGTCTCTTATGTTTGAGAATTTATATTTGGAGGTATACTTCAGATGAAACTTTCATTTTTCATACAAACACTGAGAATCCACTTACTATTTTGTTTCAATCAATGACACTACCATAATTGAACCTTTAAAAACTTTTTTTTTTTTTTTTGAGACAGGGTCTCACTATGTTGTCCAGGGGACTGTGAACCCATAATCCTCCTGTCTCAGCCTCCCAAGCAGATGAGATTACAGGCAGGTGCCGCTGCATCTAGCTTAAAATTAATGATTTTTAATATTAATCAATATTAAATGTTCCCCAATTATCCCAAAAAAAAATATTTTTAAAAGTTATTTAAGTAGAATCAGGAGAGTCTGCTCTGCTATGTTTTTGTTCTCCTGAATCCCTAAGAATAAGGCTTCACGGAAGCAAAGTACTCCTTACAGCAGGAAGGCTGGACTCTATTACTTCAGGAAATGCACTAAATGACTACAATCTGATTCCTAAGGTTATATAATATGACAACCCTAAAACTAAACTCAGAACCTTCTTTCTCAACAGAGGAGCGCTATCCTAAGCTGTGATTTTGAACAATAAACCCACTTCAATTACATCTCCCCATTACCTCTAAGAAGCTAAAACCTCTTCAGCTGCTTTAACTGCAGGTTTCCAGCTACAGCCACAGCATAATCTTCTATTCCCACTTATGTCAATATGATTTTCTTTTGTTATTATTTTAAGTCATGGCTTTGTGTCTGAATTTGCCTAAAAATATAACTCACAAATCCATATTTATCTCAAGCTGCTTGAAAAAAAATCTATATTTGTAATTTCCAAACTTAAGCATTTATTAGCATCATCTGGGGAACTTTTTAAAAAATATACATTTCCAAGGGAAATCTAGGCAACTCTGTTATTCATAGTCCAGAGAACAGAACATGGGAATGACTATATTTCCAAGTATTTAAGAACCCACACTCTGCTCCCCTTCTCAATACTCTTTGAAATAGTCACCAATTATCAAAGAGATGCTAAATTCAGAGGCCTTTTATTCATCTTCACACAACATAGCATATGTCTAAAGGCAGTCAACTTCTGATTCTTGAACTGCTCTCACATGAAGATTATTTTTCATGTAATCTTCCTAATTGGCTTTCTCTGATTTACTTTTTTAACTCTTTATCCACTACTCATTTTGAAAGTTAAAATACTCTCCAAGAGTCTAGCTGAAACTACGCATTTTTCTACCTAGATGACTTTATCTATTCTTCCTTCTGTAATTCATCCCTTTACCTATTATCTATGGATGATTTTGCATTTACAATGGCAAAATTGAGTAGTTTGGAGAGAGACCATATGGTCTACAAAGCTAAAAATTTTACTATATGGCTCTTGACAGAAAAAATTTGCCAGCCCCTCTGCTAGGATAGCCACTTAACTAAAATAATAATAATAATAATAATAACAACAATAATAATAATTTACAACAGAGTGAAAACAATTAAGTAAAAATAATTCAAAAGAAAGCAAGAAAGGGGGTTACAACAGATGAAACAATATAAAACAAATATTTTTAATAACTAAATGTATCCATAATTATATTAAATGCAAATGTTCCTGTTAAAAGACAAAGATTATCAGACCAAATTTTTGAAATCCAGCTATGCCACTGCCAATAGACACACATATATAGCACAAGACAGAAAAATCTAGATGAGGAAATATACCATGTAAAAACTAGCCAAAAGAAAGTTGGTATAATTGAAATATCAAACAAAATAGGAAAAAAAAAAAAGTTGAGCTGACTATCCCATAAATCCCTTTTGGCCCTTATATACCATTATTCAAGGTTCAGGCCTGAGACAAAGGTCTCCAGATACCACTGTAGCCTTGGAAAGAGGTAGGAAAAGGAAGAGAAGCAGTTTGCTATCCAGAAAAGGAGGAGAAGCAGTTTTAGTGAAATATTTATTAGTAAGGCTTAGGAACAAAATGAAAGATCACACACAGGAACAAGTAGAGAAGCAAAAATTGAAAACTGAAGAAAAAGGTCTAACTGACGAGTCAATGATCTCTGGTAACTAAGATTAAATAAGATTTAGATCAAGGGGCTAGGTTGTAACTCAGCAGTAGAGCGCTTGGCTAGCAAGTACAAGGCCCTGGGTTCAATCCTCAGCACCACATAAAAATTAATAAACAAAGTTATTGTGTACAACTAAAAATAAATATTTAAAAAAAATTAAGGTTGATAGATGCTTCTCAGAAAAAAAGACTATTTCTTTTACTGAAAGAATAAAAAAGAAACAAAATGAGAGGAGAAACAGATTGTGAGATGTGACAAGAGTGCCTATCAGTTGATCTTCATTACTGATAAGATACTGGGGCCCAAGTTTTACTAACAGTAGATGAATGCCAGGTAAAAACTAGATTGGTAATGAATGAGGATACATTTCATAGGCTTCAACTGAAGAAAAGTGATGGTAGAAATTAATTATCATATGACACAACAGCATAGGTATATCAGGTTAGCCTGCTCAGTAAGTAACCTTCTAGTAAAAGTACTATTTTCCTTCAAAAGACTATCTCTCTTTCCTAGTCAAACGACATAGTTTAAAGTCTTTCAACAGTTTGAATGGACTGATCTCATCCTCCAGATAGGGGAAATTAGCTGTGACCCAGGCTGAGCCAATCACTTTATTTTGTTTTGCCCAGCCACAGTGGGTAGTCACTAAAATTCTGTACTAGAACTTCTCCTGCAACTATTGGGAAAGCAGCATTTTTCCACTAGGGCTAGTAAGCTAGAGAGATAAGGCTAGAGATGATGTCATCCATCTATCCTCAATGCATAGAAGCTTCTCTATAATAAAAGAAAATGAAAGTAAGGCAAAGAATATATTTGGGCCAATGAATTCAGTAGTAGTTTAAATAAATTCAACCAGTAAACTTCCTTAGTAAGTATGCCAATTAATTCCTTTCTATTTCCTGAGCCAATGTGAGAGAGATTTCTCTATAATCAAAAGAGAACCTACTGTAACAGGTAGCATTTCATGTAATACCCTTTGAGAATATAAGTATCCTGTTATCCAAATTCCTGATGTCCAAAAAAATCTCACAATTTTAAACTCAAGAACCAAATATACTTGAGTAAAATTCTGAATATTTCCTTTACTATCTTTCTATTTTCTATTCAAAATTGGGGAGCCAAATAGATTCAAGCAAGGCAGTAACCCCTCACATTGCAATTCATCACCCAAACTGAAGAATTAAACAGATTTGGATAATGAGATTTTTAAGACCAGGATCTTATGTCAAAAAACACAGAAAATTTACTGTTTTCACCAAAAATAAGTTTGACATACATTGCCCATTTAAGTTGAACACTGATTTTCCTAGGAGGGAATAAATTATTACATTCCAAATCCAAAAATTTAGGCCTGAAGATTAAAAAGAAATTCTTTGAGGATTTACTTTATGATAAATTAATATGGCATTTCAAGTCAACAGGAAATATTAAAATGATGTGGGATAACTGAAAAAAGCAATACACATAAGAAATTAAGCCCACTACTAACACTTACATAGCAATCACATTTTACTATATTTTTTATAAAGAAAACTATTAAATAGTCTTTTCATTCCCTCTCCCAATGAAGTAACTTCAAAAGTATATGTTAACAGAGGGAAACAATGTGGTGAGACAGTTGCTGTGGTCAGTAGGGTGTGGTTCAGAGTAGGCCAGTTTATGATGTTATTCACTGGACTGAGTAAGGATGGACTAATTATAGGGGAAAACTGTGGTGAAAAATGAGAACAGTGAATACAAAGTTTCCTTTAAATTAGAAGTTCAGTTTAAAAGACAAAAATGAAGTAACTGAAGTTTCTAATGGAGTGATTCTGTTAGTAAAATTTAGTTTTCAAAAAATATATTAGTTTTTACTTCTTTTTCAAGTTCTCAAGGTTATTTTCCCAGGAAAAGAAAATAGCCTTTCTTTTTATGTTTGCTTTATCATAGGGTTGATGTTAGTATGTAGAATCATATACTGTATTTCAGTAGCAAGACAAGTAGAAATGAATGAAGCAAATGTACATTTAAAAAAAAAAAAATCTAGGGGCTGGGATTGTGGCTCACCTAGCACGGGTGGGACCCGGGTTCGATCCTCAGTACCACATAAAAATAAAGGCATTATGTTGTGTCCATCTACACCTAAAAAATAAATATATTTTTTAAAAATCTTGCCAGACAGATACACCTGCAATCCCAATAACTTGGGGAGACTAAGGCATAAGGATACCAAGTTCAAAGCCAGCCTCAACAAGAGGCCCTAAGCAACTTAGTGAGATCCTGTCTCAAAATAGAAAATAAAAAGGGTTGGGGGTGTGGTTCTGTGGTTAAGTGCCCCTGGGTTCAATCCTCCATGCAAAAAAAAAAAAAAAAACCTAACTTTACTATTGAAAAAAAATAACTCAAAGAGAAAAAATACCTTACCAATACATATAGAAGGGAAAATATCAAGTATCAAATATCAAGGCAAGACCCACTATTGACTTATCTTCAGCTATAAATACCATGGGGGAAAAAAACTTTAATAAAACATTTTGAATTTTAGTTATGTAACTAATGAGAAAATGACGTTCAAGACCTAATATTCGTGTTTCCTCATTCTTCAGGGCTTACTATAAAAATGTTAAACAAATGGGCTAGGGTTGTGGCTCAGTGGTAGGGCACTTGCCTATAATGGGTAAGGCACTGGGTTCGATCCTCAGCACCATATAAAAATAAATAAATAAAATAAAATAAAGATATTGTGTCTACAACTGAAAAAAATTTTAAATGTTACACAAATAAACACAGTACCAAAATGATGTATTATCACATGTATAAACATACATGAATTCATGTATATAAATATTTGAAAGTTTAAACTTTGCAAACTATGTAATTAATAGTGATTTTTTTCCCCAAAAGGGCACAAATACTGTTTACGAATCAATTTCTTCCTCTTCCTAGGCACACAGCTAGCGTTCCTTCACCACAGAGATCTACTGGTGAATGTTAGTAAGTAGAACTACTTGCAGTTACATGTGGCCATGTGACCAAGTCCTGGTCCAAGGGAATGCCAGGCAAAAGTGATATACATTCCCTCCAGGCTGAGCTAATAAAAACCTCTAATAGGACCTGCCCTTTCTAGTCTGCTGGAAGAATGAAGAGGATCCAGGTAAAAAGCCCCAGGAGAAATAGTCTCTGGATGGAAGGATGTTGGGTACCAAATGACTACATGGAGAACAGTAACCCCATCCACTGCACTGGATTATGATATAAATGAGAAATAAATTTTAATTGTGTAGAAACCCTAGGTGTTGTTTAGTTACCCTGACTAATGCACTACTATAAATCTTTTCCAAACCCTCTCCTGTAAAGAATTCCATAAGGAAATTGCTCTTACAGTCAATCCATCAGTAAGTACTACAGGTCTGCCTTTAAAATTTATCCTAAATTTAACCTTTTCTCTCATTCCCACCTCTACTATCTAGTTTGAGCCAACTACTGTGCTCTTACTTGAATTAGTTTTTATCATTTAACTAAGTTTCTCACATAGCAGAGTTACCCTTTTTAAAGATAAATCTATCACCACTCTCCTGTTCAAGCTTTTAATGGCTTCTTACTACAATTAAATAAAACCTCTTACTGTGGCCTAAAAGCCCTGCATCAACCTAAAAGGATCCCTCAAATTTCATCTTCATTTCGCTGCACTTCAGTCTCACTGATCTTTTTACCATTTTTAAGTTTATTCCTGCTTCAGAACCTTTATATTTCCTTCCTGCTCCCTCTGCCTGGGTCTTTTTGCATATCACTAAGGACTTTTTACTCAATACCCAGAACTTCCTTATTGATCTATCTTAAAAAAAAAAAAAAAACTTATCCCTGTCCCCCATCACATTATTCCCCTTATCCTGATTTATTTTTAATCAGAAAACACTAATCTAAAATTATATCATTATTTGGGGATTTATTTATTGTACAATATTCCCATTAAAAGGCAAAAGTTGGGGCTGGGGTCATGGCTCATCGGTAGAGCACTTGCCTAGCACATGTGAGGGCCTGGGTTCAATCCTCAGCACCACATAAAAATAAATAAATAAAGGTGTTGTGTCCAACTACAACTAAAAAATAAATATTTTTTAAAAGAAAAAGGTGTTATCTTTTTATCATGGGCATCCACAGCTCAAAAAATTTGTGGAAGGAATAAACAAATTCATATACACTTTAAGGTATTTTAGCAACCATTTTTAATGCTTGAGGTAATCATTTTATTCAGTTTCACTATAGTTATTTCCCTTTTTCCAGCTGATCTTCTCATTTATTTTCACGCATAATATGTGCACACTATTTTATCTGCTTACTGCAGGAGCTATTTTAAACAATAATTTCACAATGTCTAGCTTTTAAAATCAGCAAGTAATCAAAATTACTTCCCAAGGAGGTAATCAATGATGATACTGATTCAGGAAACCCACCTAGCAATATAGATGGAAGCATCAAGTTTAGAAATACAAGTTCATGCAGATCTTTAACCTCAAGAATACTACTTAATGAAAAACTGATCTATAGATTAAGTGTAATCACAAAATTCTGGTAGGCTTTTTGAAACAGACTAACAAGCTATATTGGAAATCTGATAGATCTAGAATAGCCAAGACAATCTTAAAGAACAAAGTTGGAAGAATTACACTACCAAAAATCAAGACTTACATAAGCCACAAGTAAGACGGAGTGGTACTTGGTAGAAAGAAAAACAGAAAGATTCTAGAAACAAAACCCCTATGGACTAATATCCTCATTTAAAACAAGACATTGCCCTTCAGCTTGGGAAAAGAAAAGCCTTTTAAATCGATGGTCCTGTACTAATTGGAGATCTAGAAAAATTAATTAATTAATTCACAGACAAAAATTAATTTGATTCACAGAACATAAAAGGAAATACGTTAACATTCTAGAAAAGCTCATATAATATTTTCATGAACCTAGCTAGAGCAGGCAAAGTTTTTAACCAGAAAACAGAAAGCAATTAAAAAAAAAAAAAAAGCAATAAAGCCCTGCACGGTGGTGCACACCTGTAATCCCAACAGCTTGGGAGGCTAAGGCAGGATGATCGAAAGTTCAAAGCCAGCCTCAGCAATTTATCCAGGCCCTAAGCAGTGAGACCCTGTCTCTAAATACCAAAAAAAAAAAAAAAAAGGCTGGGGATGTGGCTCAGTGATCAAGTGCCCCTGAATTCAACACCCCCCCCCCCGTACTATTTGAGAGAGACAGAGAGAGAAAGTAAGGAACTACAGTGGGGCATGCTTGAATCCCATTGACTGAGGCGGCTAAGGCAGGAGGATCACAAGTTCAAGGACAGCCTGGGAAATTTATAGAGACCCTCAGGAAGTTAACAGATACTGTTTCAAAATAAAAACATCTGGGAACTTAGCTTAGTGGTATAGTGCCTCTGGGTTCAATACGCAGTACCAAGACAAAAAAAAAAAAAGGAAGAACTATCAACTTAAATTTAAATTAACATTCCCTATTATTAAAGATAAGACACAGACTGGAAAGTTATCACGCATACATATATATAAAAATAAGATATATGTATTTATATGTGTGTGTGTGTGTGTGTGTGTGTGTGTATATATATATATATATATATATATATATATATAATGAGTATGTAAAACTATTGTTTTATATGTGGGACCACATAAACTATTACAAAGGGTTGAATATACTTCAGAATCTCCATTATCAACAGACTCAATAAGAAATCTCTAGGGGCTAGGGATGTGGCTAAGCAGTAGAGCAACTCCCCTAGCACTGTGTGCAAGGCTCTGGGTTCAATACTCAGCACCACATAAAAACAAACAAATAAAATAAAGGTATTATGTCCAACTACAACTGAAAAATAAATATTAAAAAAAAAAGAAGTCTCCAAATAAAACTGGCAAAGCGGCACCTGCCATAATTCCAGTGAACTAGGCAGGCTGAAGCAGGAGGATTGCAAGTTCAAGGCCAGCCTCAGCAACTTAACAAAGGCCCTCAACAACTTAGTGAGACCCTGCTTCAAAACAAAAAATAAAAAGGACTATGGATGTAGCTCAGTGACAAAAGTGTCCTTGGGTTCAATATCCAGTACCCGAAGAGGTTCATAAGAAATTAAATAATTTCTGGTAAAACATTTGGGTGTTGAAGTACACAAAAGAATAGGGGGACCGAAGTATAGCTCAGTGATACAGTACATTTATTAACATGTTCCAGGTTCTGTCAAGACCCTGGGTTCAATTCCCAGCACCAAAGAGGAAGAGAATAAAAAGATACTGATAAATGATAAAAATATATGTTACTTATATCCAGCAGTAAATATGGAATCAAGGCAAAATTGTGATTCTTTTTTACTTAATTTACATATTCATAAATTTTTATACCTTCAGGATGTACTTTCACTTAAGTACCTGTTCTTTTGATTTTTAAGAATCACAGATGAGGGGAGCTTACCAATGGGACCACTAATGACAAGACAGATACCTTCAAAGATTATAAAATGCACATCAAAATACTCAGCTTCACTTATTACATTAAGATTATACACAAAAATAAAGTACTTAATCGGGAGCATGGTCTAAGAATACCCTTCAACTTAACTACTCCCTCTTTGGAATACATGCTTCCATAGTGTGATATCTTTAAGGTACTTAGTGATTTTTTTAGATGTGTATACTCCTGATCACTTCAAGAGATTCACATGTATATGTGAATCCTCAATTTATATGATTTGAGGGGCTTTTAGAGTCATGCAAGCAGATGGCCTCTTTTTGTCACTTGGGGAGAAGTCCTACATACTCTTCAGTCTCTGTCCCTACTAACATTTTTTATGTCTTGTCTGACCTTTTAATAATGATTCCAATGTTCTTTTTATTAACTGTTGTTGCTCAATTCCTTCATTCCAAACAACCCACATTCAAGACTCTTGAAGAGGCAAGCATTCTAAAGGTGGGGGGTGAGCAACCAAGGAAACAAATGAACAAAATAATTTAAAATAGTTACAAATACTTTTTCTGTAAAGGGCCA